GGGGGGTTTCTCTTCAAAGCCAGCTGGTCTGGCTTTATTCTACAGGAATTTTTTTTACCTGCCGGTTTGATCAACGAAGCCCTCAGCAGGTGCTGAGGGGTACAACTTCCTGGAGAAGCAGAAGAAGGGCGCTGGTGAGTTTTAATAGAGAAAACGATTAAAAAATGATTCTTTAAGTCTTTGGAGTTGTTCCGCTCGCCGCAGCACTGGGTGATTCAGCTCCAGGCTCGTGGCTGCGCTCGCAAAGCTTTCTTCGAGAGAAAGCAGATAAGCTTTGTAGCATGCTTCGCATTTTGTTTGATACGGTGCTTGATTTTAGCTTCTGTCGCCAAGAAAAGTTTCTTGAAAGTGACTGGGTATTTATAGTCGGTTTCTTTCGAACTGTTTCTGTGAATCTGAATGGAAAGAAGACAGAGGGTTACGTGCAGGAACACCAGAAGCCAGACAGCACTGGGGGTGTACTCTGTGCCCCCCATCCGCCTCCTTTAAAATAAATTAGTTGTCCCGGTAATTTCCAAATAAATAGAAAGGATGTGCTGTCTGTGGACTGTTCCCTGTATGCGCAGCTTCAGCGGACATTCCAGAGCCTTAGAAACTCCTTCTGAACATCAACGTAAGATTATGTTGTAATAAATACGGGAGTGAAATTAGCAGGGTTTAGACCATTTTACAAGACTCGATAACCAAAGGACTACCACACAAAACTGCTGCCTTTTGCTAAAGTGAAAAGGTAAATTATAAAACAGAGGCTACATGAGAGCACTGCTTGGCATGATGCTTTTTAAAGATATGTGAATTTACGCAATTTTCCTTACTCCAAAACGCCAAATTATGCTCGTGTGTGTATTCTCTAATTTGCGTAAGAGCTGGGGAACTAGACGAAGGGAAAAAAAGATTTATTTTTCTAGAACAATAAGATTTCAATTAATGTGAAAACGTAGGAAAATGTGACCACATGTTAAAATAAATGTTTTGGAGGGGAGAAAAGCATTTTTATTATGCTTTCTATTTCAAGAACTCATTCTTTTAACTTTGTTTCACAGTATTCATTACAAATTGTTGTGTCAAATTGAAAACATTTATTTAAGCAAGTAAACAGACAGAAAACTTGACCATATGAATCTTTGTGAGTAAACAGATTCCATCTTCACAATTCACATGCACACCATAGAAGACACTAACAGGAGAAAGAAAAGAATCGTTCGTCAATATACAGTTAGACTGCTCCTGTAGTGGATATTCCTCGTATGTTAAAATCAATGATTTATCAGCAACGGATAGGCTAAGATTAGGCTGAATAATAATACCTGAGGCCCTTTTAAACATCCCTGATCTGTGATTTTTTTTCAGCTAGGCTGCCTGTTGTGGGAGCTGTACAGTTGACAGGGATCTCCAACCTCAGCAGAGGTAGATCAGGCCTTAATCCTTGTCCATTTTCTTCACTTTGGGAGACAAGAAAAGCGCAGCAGGGATTATTTGTCTTTCTGGAATGTGCTGTATGAAAATAATCACAATCTTGTTTGCTGCAAGAATATACTACTGTATGTGGGGATAAAAGACCAGTAGAATAAAACATTACTAGTCAAAGCATAAAGTAAACCTCTAAATAGGAAAGACACTTTCTCAGGCAAAGTATGAAAAGTAAAACAAAACAAGAACCCCAACACTAGAGCTGCTTTAAACTAAGCAACGCCTGTAAAACACCGCTGTTTCATGCATAACATTTGTAATGTATGGAAACCAAATCCCCTAAGCAGTCATTAAAACCAAGCACTGTTAAATCCAAAGACAGTAAATAGTAACGGCAACTCCTAGAGTCAACTGGACATTGAACATGCTATGCTAACCAAGAAAAAAGTATAGCCTTGGGTTTAAAGCCTTTGATTCTGTATACTGTAAGTTCGTCAGCGTTTTACTGTCTATATTTTAAAGGCTCAGAAACAGTAATTAATGTGACAAAATCCTGGATAATTTCATGAAATTAAGTTAGTCTATATTTCACTGCATTTGGGGAAAAAGAGTATTCTGTAAAACAAAACTTCAGTACAGAATGTTTTACTTCTCTAGAAAAAGATTGTTTAATGTTGCAAAAGGTGGAGATTACACGGTAGATAATTTGTACCATTAAAGTTAAGCTGAGTGCCCTTTGTTGGTCTTTCTGTTTCTTATTTTTCTTATCATCCGACTTAAGCACATTCAGTGAAATTCGGAAGTATTTCTATTATTAATGAAATATTGAGAGATTAACAAATAGGAAAACCTTATGTAATTCACTGAAACTAACTACTACTATTTCACTTAGAAGCAGAATCAACCCTAAAATGCCTGGTACACTCACTTATTTCTGTACCAACTATTCCCCATTAACTAAGAGCTCTGTTGTCCGTTTTATAAACTAGGGCAGTTTATTCTACAACTACCTTTTTATCTCTTTTATTCTGAAAAGCTATAATCTAGATCAGCTTTTAACTACACTTGCCTTTTCCAATAAATCCAAGCTTCAGTGTCAGGAAGACACCTATATTAGTTATTCCACAGTGCATGTAAATATAAAATGGGATTTAAGCACAAAGCTTTGGCAAAAATCACAATTTAGTGACTCTACATTGTGTCCTTCAAAAGTTAATTTAAGGCTTTTCATACAGTCTTACACGGTACTTTCAAAGCATACTGTGCCTTTTTCTCCCTTCACTTATGCTGGTGAAAACTGGACACTTTCCACTGAAGGCAATGAAGTTGCATTTAAGAGTTAGATAAGAGAGGGACTGCATGATAAAAATCAGGGGGGGGAAAGTAGGATGAATTGCCTGAATTGCTGCTTCATATATGAGCATTTAAAACATGCACATTTTCCATTTTATATGTCTATGATAAAGTATATGTGTACATATATAGCTGTGTATATAAAGTGTGTGCGTATGTGCACATATATAGGTATGTAGATATACACTTCAAATTTATAATAATTTTTCCCTTGGTACAGCAAAATCATATTCTACAAAACATATATAATTTTCTTCATGGACTTTTTTTTTCCCCCCTCAAAAATTCATTGGTCGTTGGTCTGAGACCATGTCCCTGAAAATCAAAGGAACACAGGCACGTTAGGAAGCAGTGGAGAATTCCCCTCCTTGCCAGTCTGCCTCGCCTGGGGACTTCACCACCCCTGAGCTGTCGCAGCGGCTGCAGACAAGCTGGGCCAGCCGCTCCCCACCCCCCCACCCCGCTGTGGCCCATTCCCATCTGAAGACACCCCCGGCATTCCCATACCACTCCCACATACCAGCCCCTCCCTGCTATCCCATTTCAAAAACGCTGTTGCACTGTAGGGTTCACCACAAACGAGGTAATGCGGACTGGCCTTGCAGCACATCCCTTGGCACAACGTACAGATGCACAAACTGTTAGCCGAGGCATCTTCCCCAAAGCAAGTACTAACAGTTTATTGCGTAGTTAAACGGGGTTTCATTCCTTTGCAAGCGCTACCAGGCAAGTTCCGAAAGCACCACTTAAGAAATTTTCAATAAAGACAAAAGTAACAGTGCATTCTATGCATAACTCTAAAGGCACTGGATTCTAAATCAAGTTCAATAAGTACAGCTTGCAAAGGATAAGCATATAGATTTAAGCTGAGGTATACCAGTTTGCTGGAAGCATGTAAAATAAGTGCACAGAATGAATGAAACAGCAATTACTGCTTCGTTCATAAATATATATATAATAAGGCTCTTCCTATACTTAAAAGTTGTGCTCACAGCATATGAAGTTCAATCTAACGTTAATGCAGCCGATGCACTGGACTCTGAAACACGACAGCATCTGTCAGCGCAAAAAAATTAAAAGCTGAATAGTATGAAATCCAGCTGCTAAGGATTAATTGAGCAAAATAAACCTTTCTGTATCTGGATTGTTTGGGTTTGGGGTTTTTTTAAAATAATAATAATAAAAAAAAGCTCTCCCCCAGTAATTTTCATCTCTTTCCACTTTCTTTTATTGCTATACACCAATAATGATACGGAAGTATATGAAATCCATAGTTCCTACAGTTTTTGCTATAGATAGCTGCAGCATTCATTATTTTTTCCTTGCTTGCTTAAGTGGTGGCAGGATACTCTCTATCCAATATAACTATATGCAAATAGCCCTTTCCCCAGTATCAATCCATCTCCTGAGTTTGAAATTATTGTAGAAGAATGCTTGGTAATAACAAATTAATATCGTGTGCAATAATTATAAAAATTAATGAAGAGTCTACTAATGTTGAGGAAAATAGAAGAGATTGTGAAATAATCTACTTGTATATCAGGAGATAGTTCCTACCCTTGGAAAGATACAGCTATCCATTTAATTACGTGTCCTTGCACTGACTGACTTCATTAACCGTTCAGTCCTCAACCACTATGCTTGTGATAGCACTTTAGATCCTAGGCATATAAAACCTCACTGAAATGAGATTTTGCTTTGTATTCTTCCTAAGAAATATAAGGGAACCGGCTCCCACTTAGGGCAAAGAAGCACTTGTTCCTTGGTTCCTAGGAGAAACTATTCCTTAAATAATTTCAAAACTGCCAGGTTTAGCCTGCAAAAAAGGATGCGGGAATTCCTCACTGAACCTCATGTTAATCCGGAAATTCTTAATCTGTCTACCCCCGTTAGTGACAGTCCTTCTGAAATAATTTCTGCCCATATGCCCTCTGCCCCGTCTTCACCCTACCTGAATATCGAGACCCCAAAATACCCTTCAGTCTCACTTAAGAGCTAGAAAATCTCGTAAATCCCTGCCAAATACCTACCTGTTCTCCAGCCCTTGATCCTTCATCTGAGTCACAGCCAAGAGAACAACTAAGTCATGTCCAGAGATACCAGCAGAAAGGGGTTTTACAGCACAGACCCTCAGACTGCTGTAGATCTAAAAGGTAAAAGCAAACACTAGTGCCACCATAACTTTTTTATTTAAGTGTTACTGAGAGTTTAAAAATGGAGAGGGTAACAACATAGTTGATGGGTCAGTTCAAGAGGTTTCAATACGTATTTGATCGGAGATTAACTGGTTAATAAAAAAAGAGCTGAAGTTGCCTCTGTATGGTCCTTATTTGCCTGACAAAAATAACAACACTCAGTTTCAGAAATTTCTTTGATTCCGTAACCAGGTTTCTTCTCCTTTAACCAGTGCCAGTGTAGCTATCCATAAAGCCATTGCTGGAATCAGATCTTGCTGGTCCGACTGGTGCAGCCTTGCAGAACCTAACAGAGACCAGAAATGGGGACTTAAATCTGTCCCTGCCATACAGGTGCGATGCAAAGATGCTCAGACTAGATCATACGACAGCAACAATAATTTCAGATTAAATAAATCTAAACCAAAGTACATACCCAAACATGACCTCCGAGGCTTAGTTTCCTCTCAACCTCAGTAATATCAACTTTTTAAAGCACTTCCATGGCAAGAGTCATGACCAATGACATCATGGCTGGAGGCTCATGGAAGTTTTAATGTAGACAAACATATGTGGCACAAGCACATCTAAAAGCTGACCCAACTATTGTGCCATTACATTTTACAGCCACAGAGGTTCTTCTTCACTTATCAATAAGAGCTGTCAACCTTCAAAAGGCCCCTCTGAAACATCTAATAAAAGTTTTATCTTAATTATTGTTTTGATAACATAAATATTAGTATTACAGCAACACTTAGAAGACACATTTATGGATCAATGCTTGCGGTTGGAGCTGTTCAAATGCCAAACAAACCCATGAAATTAGTACTGAAGAGTTTACAAACACTCAAAACAAGTGCATTTTCTCAGAACGTCCAGAGAATAACCTATTACTTCTTGGTATCTGCATGCAAGCGTATCTGTATAAAACAGTTTCCCAACAACACCTTTATCCCCTCATTCCATGTACTGATCTACTGCTATTGTATTCTATACTCAATTAATGCTGCAAGTATCATACAGCATACTCTGTTACAACAGGAAGGATGATTGGCCTTTAAAATGGGCATATCATTTATGCCAACTTTAGTTTCATAAAGTGCTATGCAACTTGAACTAGGGGGAAAATTAACAGAGAAACAGCCAAAAACCCGGGTGCTTATCTAAAATATATTGCGAAGTCTAGTCTGGAAAACTCCTGAGATTTGGGGTTCTCCAAAAAGAAGGAAAAAAAAAAGGCATTTCCTCTTCCTGTTGGGAATACCCAACAGCAGCCTTTCATGTGGTAGGTTGGCATCTCGATCTCTAGCCAGGATGGGGAATCATAGTTTTAATTGTGGCCAGGGGTCTATCCAAAACAAATCTCTGCTTTGCTTGGCCCTCAAAATTACCATGAATTTCATTGTCTACACAGATGCAGATGCTGATCTAATTTGTAGCAGCTGCAGAATACTTAATTAAGCCTTTTCTGGCCATCTATGGCTGTCTGCTTCTGTATCACATCATCATGCAGTGCAAGATAGACAAATGCTTGACTATCACACAATTAGCAGGGGGGTGCAATCATATTTTTTGTTTTGGGTTGCGCATTTTATGGCAAAATATCTGAAAATATCCCAATACCTTAGTCAGGCAATTCCATTTCAGGCAAGGAGAAGGAATGCACAGGTTAAAAAAAAAAGTCCTTGCCCCCCCCCCGACCCGACAACTTTCCCAGAATGAAAGGGGTGACAGGGAGATTCTCGTGGTTCTGCTGGGGGCTCACATGGAC